GAATATCTATAATATTAAAACATGATAGGGTTTTTTTATTTCACAATTCTGAATCAACCACTTGATGGATTTTCATGATTTTTGTGTTGAAAGAAAGATAATTTTGAGAACTAGGGAATGTCGAAGCCATAATTTTAGTTTAGGGTTTCGGGTTTTTGGAAATTAAGTTTTAAATTTCAAAAAGTCTAGCAGCCGACGCTAACATTCTACTCTAGCTTTTGGTATAATAAAATTTGCTTAATGTAACAGCTGTAAACATTCCGCGTTTTTCGACACAAATTCAGCTTTTGGATGAAAACAAAATGACATACGTAGAATTGACTTATTTATTCTATGTGTAATGCTATAACCATTGATACGTTTATTTAATCAGTAAGAGGATGAGAGTTTATTTAAATATACATAGTAAAATAATAATGTTCTAATTTATTTTTTTGAGCAGTCTTTAAAATATTTTAAATCAAATCAAATCAATTTATTCATCACAAAAATTCATAATACAGAGGCTGAATATCAGCAATGAATATGTGACATGTCAGTACAAATCATGCATTATAAATAGTTTACACATAATAAATATATACAAATATTAAGATTACAGTTGACAGGATAAAAATGAATTCATGTCATAGGGACAAAGTGCAATAAGTTTTTCTGAAAGTTTCTTTTTAAAATTATTAAGACTGGTCTGTGAATTTGTTGTAGACTTGTATGCATTGATAATAGGGTCCATTGTGAAACAAAGCTAATCTGTGGCTTGGAATTTCCAAAAGTTGTTTGTGTCTAGTTTCATAACTATGAGTTTTTTTTTTACAGTTTTCAAATAAATAAATGTTGTTTTTAATGAAAAGTGCCAAGTGTAAAATATAAAGAGCAGGAAGGGTCAAAAGTTTGAATTTTTTAAAACTGGATCTACATGATTTTCTTGAGCTGATGAGCAATGACTCTGATGGCCTTTTTTTGTTGTTTAAAGATATATTTGCTATAAGGTGAATTTACCCAGCACAACAAACTGTAAGACATAATTGATAAAAAATAACCATGGTATACTAACATCACTGTCTTGTCATCGCAAATTCTTCTAATAATTCGGAGATTAAATATAGCTTTATCTAGTTTAGCATATAAATGGTCACAGTGGTTATTCCATTTTAAATTATCTTGAACTGTCAGTCCCAGAAAATCTACTGATTTACAGACAGGAAGGTCAATGTTGGTGTTGGGAACTGCAAAAACTAATTCTTTGGACCTGTTTGAGGAGGCGGAAAATTATAATATTTTAGTCTTAGCATGATTTAAACTTAGACCGTTCTTGCTCAACCAGAAACTGATGTTTTGAACAGAGGAAGAGATATTAAGTGCCAATTCATTTTTGTCTTTATCTTTGACTATTGCTGTTGTGTCATCTGCAAATAAAATTAAATCTGAATTTACATTTGAAAACAAATCGTTGACATAAACTAAGAACAAGAATAGCCCTACCTTTGAACCTGGAGGAACTCCCAAGTGTAGGCTACTCATCGATATATAACTACTAGTAGTAGTTATATATCGATGAGGCTACTTTATTCCAATCAGAAATAAACGGTATCAGCATTCTGACACATACTTTCTCCCATTAGTTTGTCAACAACCTTTATCATGTGTAAGCGGTGAGAGTAAATATACGGAAATGGGATTTATACAATTTTGTTCACAATTTAAAGGACTACATACTAAATTTTTATCAAAATCTTTCGGGCCATTTTTGTGAAAATCGGATTTTTCCGTGATTTTATGGGGTTTTATGGGAAAATAACATAATTTACAATAACTTTTGAACCATAATTTTTACAGAAATGGGATTTGTACCATTTTGTTCAGAATATAAAGGACTATAACATACAAAATTTTTATCAAAATCGTTCGGGCCGTTTTTGGGAAAATCCTATTTTTCCGCTTTTTTATGGGGTTTCATGGGAAAATTCCCATTAACTTTCTCCCCCTATACCATAGTATATTATGGAGAAAGTATTGTTTTCGTCAAAATTTTCGAGTTTGAGTTTTGAGTGGATATATTCGTTTTGGGTCCCCCTGGACCCAAAAAAGTGGTTTTCGAAGTGATGTCTGTGTGTGTGTGTGTGTGTGTGTGTGTGTGTGTGTCTGTGTGTCTGGATGTGTACAGACCTAGAGACTACACCTGTGGTCCGATTTCGATGAAATTTGGTATGTAGGTTCTAATCTATGGTATCTCCAGGCGTTTTTTTCATTTTTTTGAAATTTTGTTTTTTAATGGGGATTTTCCCATAAAAAACCGGAAAAATCGAATTTTCTCAAAACTGGCCCGAACGATTTTGATATAAATTTAGTATGTTGTAGCCCTTTAAATTCTGAACAAACTGGTGAAAACCCCATTTCTCTAAAAATTACGGTTCAAAAGTTATGGTAAATTATGTTATTTTCCCATAAAAACCCCATAAAATAACGAAAAATAGGATTTAAAAAAAAATCCTGTTTTTATTCAACATAGTATGTTATGGTCCTTACAATTTTGATAGTTTTTTTCAATTTTTTAGAAATTTGGATTTTTAATGGGGATTTTCCCATAAAATAACGGAAAAATAGAATTTTCCCAAAAACGGCCCGAACGATTTTGATAAAACATTTAGTATGTTATAGTCCTTTATATTCTGAAAAAATTGTGCAAATCCCATTTCTGTAAAAATTACGGTTTAAAAGTTATTTTAAATTATGTTATTTTCCCATAAAAACCCCATAAAATAACGGAAAAATCTGATTTATCCAAAAATGGCCCGAACAATTTTGATAAAAATTTAGTATGTTATAGTCCTTTAAATTCTGAACAAAATTGTACAAATTCCATTTCCGTATATTTACTCTCACCGCTTACACATGATAAAGGTAGTTGACAAACTTATGGGAGAAAGTATGTATCAGAATGCTGATGCCGTTTATTTGAAACCTATTTTGGAGATAGTTGCCAAACCACAGGACAACCTCCCTACTCATACCATAACATTCCAGCTTTTTCAACAAAATATCATGTCTAACATTGTCAAAAGCCTTGGACAGGTCACAGAACACACCAGCAGTGCTCTGCGACCTATCCAAGGTGTCCAAAACATTTGTTATTAATTTAAAGATGGCTTGAGTTGTTGAACTATTTCTTCTAAATCCAAATCCAAATTTAGTTTGTTTTAGTTAAATGTTATAACTAACAGCTGGTTGAATAAAAAATATTCTATAGATTTATGAGGTTAGTATATTTACTCTGAGATTTTGTCATTGATTATTGGAAATTAGTAAGATTCTATAACCATTGGTGTATACGAATCGAAGGTCACCTTCAAAAGAAATCTTGTGAAAATTATTTTACTATTCGACTTTTTGAGGAAAGGTTGGGGAAATAACAATGATCACATGTTTTAACTCATCTTGTAAGCTTTTTCTTTACTATCAATTTTGAACTGCTTAAACTATGCCTGAATTAGTAATAGACACACTATATACAGTTTTAATGGACTACTCGATTCCCGTACGTAGGACGGGCCAACAGCTCGTTTTAATTTAAACTGGACAATTTGCACTGAAGTTCAAATAAAATTCTAGATTTAGGACCCGACAAAGAACGATGGTATTTCATTTGAAGCATCAAAACAATGCACAGAAAAATTAATATTAGCCATTAAAAATGGACAACCATTAAAGATTAATGATCATGTATCAACACTACAAGATGTAATAAAGAAGAGAAAACTAGAAAAAGACATGTTGGCTAAAGCAAATAATGAACGAATTATGGAATTACTTCCTGAAAGTCAAAAGAAGCCAATACTTAGAATTGTAGCAGGGAATACTAGCCAATGGTTAACTGTGACACCATGTGCATCTGATCATACGGATTTGTCCCCGGATCAATTCAGAGATGCTTTGTCAATTCGCTATGGCCGCACACTAAGAAATTTACCAGTACGATGTGATGGTTGTGATCAACCTATGAATCTAACACATGCATTAAATTGTAAAAAAGGAGGATTGATCAAACATGGGCATGATCAACATCGAGACCACTGTGCTGCGATAGCAAATATGGCCTGGAAAGGGGTTGAAGTCGAGCCTATTATGAGAGAAGCTGACCCTGCAAACAATGTGCCTGCTTTAAAAGCTGATTTTAAAGTTAATGGTATTTGGGAGGCTGAGAGAGTAGCGTTTTTTGATAATCGCATTGTTAATGCTGACGCTCCCTCTTACGCCAACCAAGAATGGGGAACAATATCTCGAAACCATGCCGTTCAGAAACACAATAAATATGACAAAGCAGCCGAAGACATCAGAGGAAGCTTCACACCATTAATATGTTCCACGGAAGGAGTCCCCCACAAAGAATATGAAGCGTTTCAGAGGAGAACAAGCGAAGCCCTGGCTGTAAAATGGAGAAAACCATACTCCCAAATTATCGGATGGTTGAGGATCCAAAGCCAGCTTTCCATCATTCGAGCAGTTTCGCTAAGGCTACGGGGAACTAGACGAAAAATTCGAAGCATTCAATTTGAAGATGGTGCCGCAATTCCCCCATTGCTCTATTGAGCTTTCATTTTATTTTTTTAAACATTTATATTTGATTGAAAATCATAGTCATATGTTGAATTGTTTGAAATGTATAAATAAAGTTTTATTGTATATAAAAAAAAAAAAAAAAAAAAAAAAAAAAAAAAAATAGGTCTAACGTTTCTTCTGAAAATGTGTTTTTTGAGAAACATAATTTACGCATGTTTTTATAATGTAAAAAAAAATAAAAAAAAACTACAGTTCCTACTTTTAAATTTATATTAAGGCCTTTTAAAGTTTACCTAATAAAATCTAAGAGATTAACTGATACCCCATCTCTAATGAATATGAATATCTTTAGAAATCGTTCATTTGTGACATCAAAATTAAATTTATATTTCATTACTTTAATAACTGCTGAGATGTAAAATGATTTGTTAAAAAGACAAAAGAAAATGATTCAAAGAGTTTATTCTACATGATATTCAGAAATACAATAGCAGACTCATAAACCTTTCAATGAGAGAGCAGACACAAAATACTCTTTAACTAAGGTAGATCTCCAATTATCCGAATCAATTGTACCACATAAGGATAATACTGCGGGAGACCATGGTGATGTCTACAAGACCGCAGGAGATGTAATATCGATGTTAATATCGATTCTTATTAGGTACTGTTCTTACTTTTTTAATTCTTTATGTAAGCAATTCCAATAGTTGGAGGACTACTGTACATAAATTAATCTTTAATGCGCCAGTTTGTCTGATTATATTGAACTGTACTCCCACTCCAAGACAGATACCGTTTATAATAAGGTCTTCCACTTCCTCCTCTTGGTGTTCTGTTTTGAGATTCATTTGACCAACCAAATTCATCCATCTTGACACTTTCATGAGGTTTCTGCGCTTCGTCTTGAGAAAAAACTCTCAAACTCTCAGTAACAAAGGACTTTTTTCTTTGGTGAAGACTTTTTAACGCCAAATTTGGTCCTAAATCAATTTTGGCTTCAGAACTTCCATGCCTAAATATATTGCTATTTAAAGCGATGTTGCTGTCGTCTAATTCACGAGAACCACTTCTTTGTTTGATTATGCCTTCAAAAGTACTTATTTCAATAGATTGTTTATTATTTGCACGGTTTGGTTTCTTTGATGATCTATTTTGAAATACTTCCACATTCCCTGAACTTCTCCTCCTGAAGTTTAAATTGCCGTCACTTTGACGTCGCAAGCTTGTTTGTTGAGCATTGCTGTCAAGGCTACTTCCCCATTCGCTGACGGACTCTCTCCATTTTTCCTTAGTACTATGCCTGCGTTCTTTCTTCCGAGCATAAGTCTGTTTAATCTCATCTGATACTTTATGTAAGTCGTCAATTAAATTAACATTAATAGGAACTTCAAAAAGTTCAGGTTTTGTGAGCTTCAGATCATCTAAAAACTTTTGAAGATCTTGGATATTTTTTTCCTCAGTTCCCAAAACTCTCTCTTTGTTTTCCTGCAGGAGATGTAGTCCTTCATTCACAATGAATTGAAACATGTTTATTTTGCAGGCCATGTTTAAAAAGGTGCATTTATGTGACTGAAAACATATGAATAGTACAAGTTCAGATTAGTCTTTTTTTACACTGTAAAGGTTTTGCTAAGCTAACGTCATTAAACCACTATGCGTAACTGATATGAATGGAAACACAATAGAGTTCTGTGTTAAGGCCCTGTGACACATGGCTAGTTTACTCGCTGCAACTACAGTAGCATCTACTAATCGCTATGTGTGACATAGTAAGTAACAACGGGTGAGTGACGAGTAAAAATTCACTCGCAAGGAAAGTCGGACATGTTCAACTTTTGGAGCGAGTGGTCGCTAGTCCTTGAAATCGACGCTATCCCCACTTGCTATGTATCTTTAAGCTATTTCCAGTTTTTTTCTGCATGAAATTGTCTTCCTCCAAAATTTATCTTTTTTCTATATCAGTGGTGATACCATATCCAACAACTCATGAAATTTTGGTACGGTTGTCCTCATTTTTTTCAAAATATGATTGGAGGCCTTCATTTGCTAATTCTTTCATTAGTATTGATTAAGCACCCTCTCGTCTCCCTACCCACTCGCGTTTATTCTCCTTCTTAATTTTTGCACAGATCACTACACAAATCCGCAACAGACGTCTTAGAGCCTCCCTCCTTAATACCAAAGATGACATTTTCCTCAGCACAGTAATTTATTCTACACAACCAGACTGAAGTAACCACTAAAACTCGCCATGTGTGACTGGAAGTGTTTTTCAAGCCTCCTAGTACAAGTGGCGACTAAAGTAGCAGCGTCTAATAGCGGCGAGTAAACTCGCCATGTGTGACAGGGCCTTTAGGTACTATTAATAACAAGACATTTTACTCATTCACTCTGTCAAACGCTACCAGTGGCAAACAAATTGCTTTTTGGTCAAAAGTAAATATGTGTACCCTATCACAGACTTACAAAAACAAACAACAAAAACGTGTTTATAGGATAAACTAAATGAAAACTAATCTATTTATATAATATAGAAAACTAAAATCCCGTACATTATAGTGCCTATATACAGGGTGCGGCAAAATAACCTCCCTATTTTTAAACGTAAATAAAAAAACAGGTTTTCAAAATAAAACAGTTTTTATTTTTTTTACTTATTCTCTAACAAGGGAAGTTTACTTTTACTTAGTTTTAAAAAGAATGTCTGTTAAATGGTGACCATGACTGTTGATACACTGCTGCAGACGAACTCTGAAGCTGTTGTGGACTCTCTCGAGCATGGCTTGAGGTATTCGCAGAATTTCCTGGCGTATTGCCTCTTTCAGGTCTGGCAGATTCCTTGGGCGACGTTTGAACACCTCGGCCTTCAAGTAACCCCATAAAAAAAAAATCACATGGAGTGAGATCTGGGGATCGTGCTGGCCACGCGATGTCCCCTCCCCGAGAAATTAATTTGCCAGGAAACATCTGCCGCAAAACGGCCATTGTTAACCGAGCAGTATGAGATGTGGCACCATCCTGCTGAAACCATACATGTTCAAAATCCCTCTCTTGCAATGCTGGTTCAAAAAAATTCTGAATCATGTTGGTATACCTGTGTGAGTTCACAGTCACTGCAACGCCTTCTTCTTCGAAGAAATATGGACCGATGATTTCAAGTCGTGAAATAGCGCACCACACAGTTACACGCTCGCTGTGAAGTGGTCTCTCGTGGATTTCATTGGGATTGTTTTGACTCCAATAACGATAATTTTGCTTATTAACATTGCCAGACAAATGAAAATGTGCCTCGTCACTGAAAAAAACAATGGCGTCTGGTGGAAGTCGTTCCAAGATGTTTCGACAAGCTTCCGTGCGACTCTGCCAATCAGGTTGAGACAGTTCTTGCACAACAACCATCTTATAAGGATGAAAATGGAGGTCCATGTGAAGGATTCGACGAACACTACGGTCAGACATCCGAAGGGCGGCTGCGTGTTTGCGAGCTGATCTTTGAGGGGACTGCAACACTGACTGCCTGACAGCATTGATGTTTTCAGGTGTACGCGCACTACGATGTCTTCCACCCCGTTTTTTCACAACTGAACCAGTCTCCCTGAAGTTTTTTACCCACAACAGAATAGTCTTTCTGTCCGGTACAGATCCACGAGGAGGAATTTGATATCGCGTTCGAAAAGCACGCTGTGCCGCGATAACAGACTCATTGTTGCGAATGAACGCTTCAACTGCAAAGGCTTTGTGTTCACTCGTCCACGCCATGATGGCGACTGGTGTCTACGTGCCGAATGATGCCACATAAACTTCCCTCTCCCCCGCGTCGACGGCCGCCATCCCCACCACTCTAAGTGTCTCCCACCACTCACCACGACGCAACAAAAATCGGGAGGTTATTTTGCCGCACCCTGTATATACATCTAGTGTTGACCAGGTGAATTGTTGTGAGCGCTCATAGTGGTAAAGAAGTAAACTGTTGTGAGCACATCTAGCGGTGAAGAGGTGAACTTTCACTAACCGCTACTGTGACATCTAGTTGTGACTAGTTAAACTACAATTGCCAATGCCTACATGATAAATCTTGTGATTAAAACATTCAATATTCATCACTGCCATTACAACAAACATTTAATTTTGAATGTATAATAAATATTTGATGTTTTTTAATACTGGTATAACCCTGTCAAGGCTCACAGCGTCAGACAGGTAATAAATATACTGGAGCATGATTACTTTTTTCTCATGTTTCGACTTCTCATATGCTTGCTACATGCTTTAACCATAAATATCGAACACTACTCTACTCATATCAAGTTGATGAAAATTTGAAAACTTAGGCTAATTCCTGTACCTACAGATGATCTAAACCCTGGTTTAAGCTTATTAACAAGAGCTACCATGAAATCAGTGAAACTGGGGGTATAAAAATATATCTAGCTATTTCCCAGACCTACTAGATTGGTATAAATATCTAAAAGTATTATTAAAAAAAAAAAAATACTAGTTGGACAAGAAGCTATAGCTAGGGCAAGTTTACTAGCTGAGGCAAGAAACCTGTGTAAACACATAAGTGTTAAGTAGTTAAGTAAATGCTAGCCATATGTCCTTATATCCCCCCATCACCACTGTCACTCACTGAACACTAATGGTGTGTTTACACAGGTTTCTTGCTAGTAACAAAATATTAAATAATATATGAATTGTTCTAATCAAACCGTGTGGTCAACCTGTCATTGTCTTGATATAACCACTATTCGATGAGTGGCATCCGTTTCCACCCTCAGTTCAGTACAGCGTGAAACAGGGCATCACAAAGTTCTAATGAGTAGTAACCAGAAAACACATTGCAGACTATCAAGCTTAGCTTAGTAAATAGATCCGGTGTGTCCAGGCCCAGGGGTACGAGAGGTTTTAGGTTTTTGGGGCGCTAAGAGAAAATTGTTGGCAGAAGTACTTATCACAGAAGCAAACAAAATAGGAAAAGAAAAAAAAATTGTATATAATGTATTAAGTAGTTAATTAATTTCATAATAAATGTAATCTCTTGACTTGGCCAATGCAATGTATTGTTAATCTGGCTGAATAAAGGACTTTGACTTTGACTTTTAGGATTGCAAGTAAATGTAGAAAAAACTAAAATCATTAACTTTGGAAGACAAGCAAACAATAGAAACAGAAACATACATATAAAGAACTTAACTATAAATTGTACAGAAAGTTTTAAATATTTAGGAGTAACTGTAAATAGTAGAAACTCAGAAGATGAAGACATACTAACTAAGTTATCAAATGCCAATAAGTGTTGAGGAGCCTGCAAGAAGTTGATCTCATCTAAATTATTATCTCACAGAACCAAAATACAGTTATATAAGACAATAATTCAACCTATTCTGTTATATGGTAGTAAAACATGGGTATTGTCCAAGAAAATGAAAACCGACTCATTGTGTTTCAAAATAAAATCCTAAGAAAAATATTTAGTCCAGTGCCGGAGGGACAAATGTGGAGAATAAGGAAAAATAGAGAGTTAAGATCACTATACACTGACCCAGATATTGTTGCAATAGTTAAGGGAAGAAGGTTAAGTTGGATAGGGCATGTGCTAAGAAGAGAGAAAGGAGCAAGACTGTATGAAGTTTGGAGAGCCACACCTGGAGGTAAACGCCCATTGGGAAGGCCGAAATTGAGATGGACGGACCAAGTATTGAATGACATCAGGACAATGGGTGCAAATGTCAACTTGGCAGAAGACAGAGAAGGGTGGAAGAGGCTGGTACAAGAGGCGAAGAATCAACTGAGATTTGTGGAGCCACGGCAGTAAGTACGTAAGTAAGAAGAGACAAATTTCTCCACAAGGAATAGGGAGGAGGCACAATTATCTCTCGGGCCTGTATGTAAGTATAAAAAGCTTACCGTCATAATAGAAAGCTCTGCATTCTCTTTGACTAGTGTTTCAAAATATTTCAAAGCCTTTTCAAGATTCCTTTCAAAGAAGAGGTAGTAGGAACCCATTTGACAAAGAATCTCATGTCGTTTCATGTGGTCATCTCCGTATTGATGTAATAGCTTTTGGAAGTCAAACACAGGATCGTAGTTACTTCCATACACAAGCCGTTTCATTCTCAACATGTCCAATGAGGCAGGAAAGTTGCCCAATTTTCCAGCTTTTTCACAATATAAGGCTGCTTTTTCATAATCCTGCAAGAAAGAGAAAAATTTTGTTGGATATACATTGGAATTAGGATAAGAAGTTTTGAGAAAATTTTTTTGATAAAATATTCTTTTAAATTTTGAGCCAAGTATGAAATTATGAATAGTTGGGGGTGGAATAGATGTTTAAATTTATATTTATAAGTTAATACAAGTTTTTTTGCCCACCTCTTTTTTATACGAAACACCATAAACAAACCAAATTGACCATGACGTCAGGGTACTAATATTTGCAGTGGCGGTTCCAAGGGGGGGGCTACAGGGGCTAAAGCCCCCCCCCTTGGACCCTGGAAAAATAAATTTAAACGTACATTTCGTCCTTAAAAAACGCAATGTCATAAAACAGACATCAATGTAGATGTTATTAAACTGAATAAGCGATGGCAGGAGTAGTATTAAGTTCCACATAGATCAACTTTGTGGACAATAGCACAGCAAATAAAACAATATTACGCAATGGAAAGTTAGTTATACTCAATGGAAAGTTAGTGATACTATACGCATCATCCAATTTTTACAGCAGTCAGCTGTTGACATGCTATGACGATGGCGAGCGCTGAGCGCGCGACCAAGGACGGGGAAACAGCTGATTTCCTGATGTTCCATAGTTGTCAAATTGTCTGCTAGCCACTAACTTTACACAGGCCACAGGCATCAATCAGCAATCAGCTGTAGCACCAGTAGCCTTTTACCTTTTACTATATAAACACTAATGTTAAAGTTTTGTATAGTCACTGCTATTACCGGTACTGAATTCGATACTGTACATGTGACAGATCTATGAAATGGACTGTAGAAAAACATAAGTTTAAAAAACGTATCTACTTGCTTGCATGACATATAAACAGCATATAATAGGTGAAATGGAAGGTTTTAGGATAACTATTGAGCACAGTTATAGCCGTTAGAAATAGCCCTATAAAAGTGACCAAACGGCTTATTTTTAGGAGATATGGCTTTGTAGTCTACAGTAGGCCTATGTTTTGAAATTCATGAAAGCAAGTTCGTCATAATTTGATTTTTTAAATGTCTACTTACTTCACTTGCTCATGACAAAGACAAATAACAGGTGAATTGGCAGGTTTTTGGACAGTTGGACACATAATGGCTTAGTAATTGGATTAAATAATTGGAAAAATAATTTAATTTTGATTGGATTAAATAATTTTGGATTTCGATTAATATTTGGATTAATAATGGCTTTAGAAAGTCAGTAAACAGCTTTTAGGATGATATTGCCGTAGCCTACAATATGATTTGAGATTTTATGAATGCAATCGTCATAGTTTTTTTTTTTTTTTTTTTAAAGAGGTTGGCGGCCTCTTTTAACCTTGCATTTGCCCGTCCACATAGACTAAGCGCCCGTGCGTGGATCGTTAACAGCAAGGCAAGGAGTGAGCCGGTACAGTACAAAGGTGAACTGTTAAAATTTTATCGGCAGTGACCAGGATCCGAACCCACGACAATGCTGCCTTGGGCCCGAAGGCCGCGACGCTACCGACTGAGCCACCGACTCACTAAATGTTAGTTTTAGTCAGTTAGTTTTAAAAATGTCTACTTATTCATGACAAAAAAAAATGGGGAAATGGGAGGTTGTGCACACAGTTCTAGACGTTAAAACTGGCTGTAGAAAGTCACCCAACGGCTTTTTAGGAGGATATGGCCGTTGTCTACAGTGTTTTGAAATTCATGAATGCAATCGCCATGGTTTAATTTTTAAAATGTCTAATGTTTTTAAAACCCCCCCCGGTAGCCCCCCCCTTGACAAGGTCCTAGAACCGCCACTGAATATTTGTACAGGACTTCAATAACTAGAACCTTGATATCTCAAATTCCTTGATCTCAATTTTTTTCCATATAACCCTTGAAACCTCAGCAAATCACAATTCCAAAAATACCTTTTTAAGTCAAAGGGTTTATTTTACCTTGATAGTCAAATTTTGACTTTTAGTGATCTGTGTAATACACTTAACCTCTATTACTCAAAATTTCTTGTTCACGTGCCTCAATAACTTGAAGCTTACTTTTATAAGTCAAAGTTCTCTTAATGCACTAAATAGTTACTCTACTCTACTATTAAATAAAACTCTCAGAATTATTTGCTAAACGTTTATTTTTTTAGATTAAAATCCCCTAAATTTGCCGCTCCTAAAATTTGCTGCCCCAGGCGGGCGCCTAGTCTGCCTATTCGGAAATATGTCCCTGGAACTAACTTTTCTATATCCTCTTCACAGAAAGATGCCGCCATTGAAGAGAAACATTGCTGTAAGCATTTTCGGAACCCAACAGGAACATATCTTGCAATAATTCAAGTGATTAACAACAATATCATGCAAAAGAGATTTTGAACTTTGTGAGAATTCATCAGAAAGCATTCTTATGGTGAAACGTCTGTTTTCACGATTTTTTTTCATTTACTTTTTCAACCAATTCCTGACTCACAAAAGATGGCTGGCCGCTGATAACTCGAACCTCACTTGCTTGAAAAACTGGATGGCTTGAATTTTTACTATTACTCATTCAGCTTCAAGGTATCGAGGTCTTAGGTTAAGATTGCTTAGTCCCAGCAATTTTTTACATTTGTTTCAGTTTTCCAAATTGGCAACTGACTTGTAAGGATTGTCAAACACTGTAATACTCAGATTCGTTCTTCTGAAGTTGAACAAGTTTTAAAAGTAAATCTGTTTCAATGAGTAAAGATTTATTTGGTTATTGCATAAATAATTAATACACTAGGATGCAGAAAAAATTAAATTTGAGACTTACCACTTATTATTTATGATTAAACTTTGTAGTACTTACTTTCCGTGTACGGAAATCAGACTTCGCTTTTCCAAAAATTAGCTACCGATATGGCTTTGTCATTCGCATGTAAAAGATCATCTAATGTGCAAGACTGGTCTAGGCGTGGGCAGATCAGCAGATGGCCAGGATCCTGAACAGCACCAAGATGTTTTCTTCGTCTGGTAAGACCCCATTTCTGCATGTTTGCCTTGCATTTTGGTACCTCGACCCTAATTCGATTTAGGGTCTTCCACATCGTGTAATGAAGGCCTCCACCAGGAGCCAGTTCCTCCCTGGCTGGTATGGGAGGGTTAGGATTGCTTGAGAGTGATCCATCCAGAACTCGTGTCCGTGATAAAAAGCTCTTTCTGGATCGAAGCCGTCGCTCTGCAGGTTGGTGGCCGTGTAATGGGTGACGAGGGTCTGTCTCTTGCTTAGTCCTTTCTGCGTCGGCAGCAACATCATGTCGGATTGATGGAGGGGCAATCCCTATGATAGGATAGAGTTTATGTGTACTGGGGGTTAGTTTCAAACACCCAGTTACAAGCCGAGCCATGTCATTGACTGCAATGTCAACCTTTTTTGCATGTGACGATGCATTCCATACTGGTGCAGCCGACACACTGAGCACTAAAGCTGAGGTTCTGAGGACATTAGGGTTAGCACCCCAGCATCTGCTGGTGAGCTTCCTGATGATATTATTCCTCGCTGAGACTTTACTTCTTGTCGCAATACAATGCGCCTTAAGGTCGAAAGTTCTTAGGATCGTTTGGATCTTTCCCAGGTTTGAGCAGTGAAGCCACACGAGCTTTCCTCCATGCCTTTGGTATATGCATTCGGCTTACGCACATGTTCATGAGGCTCAACAACCATTGCATGGCATTTTTACCTAGGTTCTTTAGTTGTTCGACTCTGATCTTGTCAATACCTGGAGCTCTATTAGTCTTTAAGCTGGTAATGACTGCAGTTAGCTCGGACATGGTGAATGGTTCTTCCAGGAAGTGATTCTCACTTGCCACATCACGCACAACAGACTCCAGGTATTTCCTTCCATAGGTTTTGCCATTTAAAAGAAGGTTGGTAGCAACTTGATCGGCAGTAACTGTTGTAAAGTTGTCTTTTGGTTTTGTCGCATCTCCATTTATGTTCTTGAGGAACTTCCAGGCCCGTCTGCTGTTCACCTGCATATCTAAACTCTCCACAAGATCACACCACTTAGTTTTGCGATTTTCGGCAATGACTGACATAAAGCTCTTCACCTGCTAGAAGTGTGTCCTCAGCAAAGGGATCATTGTCAAAGAGACCTTGGTATTGTTCTAGCAGTGGCTTTGCCTCTTCAAAGAGTCCTGCGATGTAATGGGTTTGACAGCCTCTAGGTATCATTTTTCTCGAGACCTGCTGGACAAGCTTAACGAAGGAGTCATACATATCAGGTTGTGGAGGGATATTGACGATTTCTCTGTCAATGATCTCCTTAAAACCCGTCCAGTTGGCCTTTTTGAAATTAAACCTGCACCTTAGAGGAACAACTTCAGGTTTAACAACAGCACTAACGGTGCATTCTATAGGTCTGTGTTGAGTTCTGGGAATCGGATCACCTACAGACTTTTCACACTGGGAGGCAATCCTGCTGCTCACAAAGATGTTGTCAGGGTTATAACCCCTCTTCCATCTACCGCTGTTAAAGGAGCAAGGGAGCTTAGGATCGTGTAGAAGCTGCAGGTCATTTGCCTCAGCCCAGGTTTCAAGTTTTGTCCCATTTTCACTTGTCTCTTTGTATCCCAAAGCAATGCTCTGACAATTAAAATCCCCCAAAACGAAATTAATGTCATCATAGCATAGATTATCGGGCTCTGTAAATACATACTGAGATTCGGGAGGCTTATACAAAGAGGTGACACTGTACTGTGGTGTCCTGACCGTTAGTATCTCAGTATTGTTCCTCTCAGTAAGCGAAGCTGAGGTGACGTCAATGTATGGCCTGGCAAAAACAGCACTACCATATTGATCATGCCTGAGGTCTCTCTAGAATCAGTCTCATTCCCTCTATGTTGGGTCTAGGTTTTAAAATGCCCCGGTGTGTTTCTTGCACAAGGAGGAAGTCTCATTCGTACGTCTTGCACATATCAGACAGTAATACTTCTTTGTCTCTCGATATTCCCTCGATATTAATCGAAATCGTTACTAATGGCCTTGAAAAAGACCGTTTAGGCAGATTCATTTTTCGAAGTCGTCCGGTTGTAGAAGGATTTACCGCTGACATGTCAGCGTTGCCCGGGGTGCGCCCGATTGTGATGTCGTTCATAGCGTGCAATGGTCACAATCTTCGGGGAGACTCCTTCTGTGCACCCCAAACTTTGTAGTGATGTGTATTTATCATATTTTTATATTCCTAATTCTCTGTGTATCTAAAACACATCTACATTTCATAATGTAACTTCAACTTGTAATTACTAAATAAGTTTTGGCGCAGCACTGTACTCAATCTATGTTTGAATAAAGATTAATCGATTGATTGATTTACTGAAAATACATATTTTGTTTGAAAAAGGTTTGTTTGACTGTAGTAAGTTGCTATGAAATGTGAGTAATTACCATAAGGCTCTTGTAGTAGTGAAGGCCCAGGGCATGAATGGTAGTAGAATTTCTAGGGTCTTGTTCCAAAGCCCTCTGGAGGCAATACTCTGCCAAACGGTAGTCGGACTTAAAGGCCGGGAGCTTCAGAAGACCATAACCACAAAGTCTGTTCACTACTTCTGAGTCTGGCCGCAGTGAAATCGCCTCTCTGCAAAAAAAAACCTCTATTCTGGATCAAAGTATCCATTATAAAATAACAGTTATTGTTAGTTAGTTACTAATGGCTCTAGTAAAATACTGAGAGAAATAATTGTTAAAATAAAAACCAGCCTCAAAGTTTAATTATTGTTCACCTTGAAATTATGAAAATATTGTTTAATATTTTTATTGTTGTTCTAAGAGAAAGAACTTCTTCAAACTTTTTTCTAAACCACATAGTCTTTTCTTATATCCTAAGTGTGTCACAAGTTTATTGTAAAACATAGAACTAAATGTTTGCTTCATTTAAATGTAATAAGTTAAATAGTTTGTAATCAATTAAGTGATCTTAAATTGTTTGATTGAGGACAACAAATAAGGAACCTGTTTGGGAATACGTATGCTGTCCGTCTTGAAGCACCTAGGAAAGATGTTTGTAAATATTGTCGACTAGCTGACAATGTCATAATTCCTTATAAGTGAACTGCACCTATTGCATTTTAAAACTTGAAGGAATCTGATTTTAGTTAATTGCAGAGTACCGGTAATGTTTGATTGGTGTGACAAGTTTTATCCAGATTGAAAAGTGTTGTAAAAGTGGTAGTAAGGGACATCAATAAAAATTTCCTGGATCCTGTTGCCATTAGTCATGCAACTGGTTGACAAATGGTGTTTTTAGAACAAGTACAAAGTAAGGTAGCAACAAGACTAGGTAATGAATCTATATAAATAAAATTAGAGTTTTGTCTGTACATAGCTCAGATTTATATATTTTTAGGTTATTTTTACGTTTTATATGTTGAAGAAGCAGAAAAAAGTCTTATCTATATTTCTGTCAGTCTGTCTGTCTGTCTTTCTGTCTTTCTGTCTGTCTGTAACACTCAAGATGGCATTTTACGCAATCTTCTCTAAGAAAACGAGAGTACCTATCAAGATCCAAGTCGTTTTAATGTATTCACTGGATTGGCGAGAGTGTCTTTTGCCATTAAAACATGGCCTCACTACTTTGTAAATAAAATTGCGGACGTTCAAAAATGCAGTTTTGTGCGATCTTTGTCAAATTTTTGTTAAATTTTTATCACATAAATCATCTATGAAATAACGAACAGCTGTTTGGATCAAGATTATTTTTTCTAGCTGTCCCTGATATGTTTACAAATGTTGTTTACAAATACCGCAACCATTTCCGATCACGTTTTGAAAGCAAGTCCCAACCAACTGAGATTAAAAACGTTTTTCTTACATAACGGATTTAATTAATCGCAAGTGCAATATTATAGTGTAACCGTAAATGAAATTAAATAATTAGGCATCATCCAAGTCAGGAACCAGAGATTCTTTGTGTATAAAAATGTTCTTGATTTTTGATAACCAGAAAGAAGACCTTGAATCAGTGTTGTATAAGGCTGGGACACTTTGATCGTCGCCAATAGCTTACAAACAAGGTTTCCATTGACTCAATTCAATTCAATTCAATTGATTTGCTTCAATGGTGATTGTGTAAAGTGTAAAGTAAAAAAATCACAACTGCAGTGGGTGATTGTAACAGAGGTTTACGGATGATGCTAAATTCGCTTTTCTAATGTGTCACTTTCTGTTCTGTTTCTACTCACCGTGTGATGCAATCGCTGGACCATACCCCATCACTATCTCAACGATTGATAATTGATAATATGCCCATAGCCCATCTCTTGGGTACGTACGCCTACCTATTTATTTATTTAACAACCTTTTTGACGACGATCGTTGATACCGGTACTTTTCCATAGAATACATGGCCTACCTACTTAAGAAATAAAATTACAAATGTCCAAAAACCCAACATTGTGTGATTTTTGTCACATTCAACTGACTACTATAAGATCCCTTTGCGGAGAACGGGCACACAGCTAGTATTTACTAAAGATAGATACGGTACAAGAAATGTCAATGATGGTCTTTTACATAAAACATCTACAAATACTGTTTACTATATAAGGCACTAAGAGTGCAATGAGAATCAAGCGCAAGTGATTCCACTTACATTCACCTGAATATCATAATATAAAGTATATGACTACTTTACTAAATTAGTGAAAAACTTGGTTAAAATAAAAACTCCAATTACTTGTACAGATCAAAGGACTTTTGTTGAATCTCACTAATTTCATGGAAGGTTTGGCTGTGGTAGAAGTCTTGATCATTGCGATGTTTTTGGAACTTGCATTCCCCAGCCTCGCGGTATGCTTGAGCGAGCAACAACAAATGCCGAGGAGAACGTTCCTGTTCTACAGCTCCCTCTAACAACTCCACTTCCTCTGATGATACTTCTTCCAGGGAGGATTGGAGTTTACGGACACGTCCTAGATTAATTTTAAAACATTTTATTTGTAGTTAAGTTAATAAATCTATTGACCAACCTTATCACATGTAAAAGCTGTAACTTAACCAAAGGAATAGTTGCTGATTGAGAAGTAGTGTAAACTAAAGCTGTTTTATGGATAAAGCTCCCTAACCAACTAAGTTCCTGAGTTTTTAAACTAGGTGTGGGTTGATTTCTGTATATACACAATGGCGGCTCCAGAAACCATTCCACCCCGGAGGGCCTAAGTTCAATTTAAAAAATCGTGTTCATTCAAATATTTTGTGTATACATAATTGTCTAATTATTAACTATTTTGATTTTCTGTTATTTTTGTGTTTTAAGGGGAAAGTAAAAGTTACAGTTACTTTTAAACCGTAATTTTTACAGCAATGGGAGTTGTACCATTTTGTTCAAAATTTAAAGGTCATACTAAATCAAATATTTACCAAAATCGGGCTATTTTTGAGAAAATTAGGTTTTTCTGTTAAGTTAACTCATGGGTTTTTATGGGAAAATCACTATTTAAAATCATAATTTCAAAAAACTTTAAAAAATGCCTGGAGATACATCTACTACATGGCTTGGTACCTACATACCAAATGTAATCGAAATTGGACTACAGGTGCTGTCTCGCTGTCTGTAGCTCTGTACACATCTACACATACAGACAGTCAGACATCAATTCAAAAACCACTTTTTTGGGTTCACAGGGCCAAAAATGGATATGTCATCTCAAAACTCAAACTAGAAAATTTGGCCAAAAACCATATTTTCTCCATATATGCTACTAAAGTATAGGGAGAGAAAGTAAAAATAATCAAAGCCTATATTGTAGACCTTTAAAAAAAATTGTATTGAAATACATGAGGAGGGGGAAGATAAAACTTTAAATAAGAATCTGCCCGGAGCCGCCCCAGTAAATACGGCTAATCTGTGATATTCTTGTAACTGTATAGTGGGTTTTGAAATATTCGTAATATAAAGTAAGTAAAAATGTAAGTAAATAATAAGTATAGCCTACTCAAAGACTGAGAAGTGAGGATCATCCAAAGGGGTGAGTTGGGAATGAGAGCAAGAGCTTGACGAGCACACTGCAGTGCTAGTCGTGCTCCTTCACCACGATAGTGATGGAAGAACCAAGCCTTCAAACCTTGCAACGCTGCCAACCCCTCAACAGACATATCCTTCACCATTTGCAAGTCTTGCACAACCTGAGGAAACAGTACATTGTATAACAGTAGGGTTCATATTCATCCAGCTATCAACGCTGCTATTGTACACTGCATACAGTCAGTGTTTACAAGCTTCTACATTTTCACCTGTTAAGTTTTTTAATTCAAAGCGTTTAAGACGGTAACCAAAAGTACACACAAACCATGCTTGAAAGATGCTTAATAATGCCTGAAAGTTTTATTACAATTTGTCGAGCGGTTTCGGAGTCCATAACGTACATACATACATAGTTCCTCTTTTATAGATATAAATTTTGATAAAATTTGGAAAATCCATTTATTTCATTCTAAACTATTTTAGAATGAACTATTTTATAAACATTTTACTAAAAAAACACTTGTTTGTGCGACCCTTCCTGTCGCAGCAAACCTAAGTACTCATTACACTAAGGTTATTTAAATAAGGAATAATTGTGATACTATTTTACAGCAAGTTTAATTACATTTGCAAGTAAAGGTGATATTTTTTACCTTAGATCAGACTTTTGAGTTTTGTTCTCAGATAAAATGACCTCCTGTCTCCATTGTAAGTGCGTTGAGAATTTTCTCTGGATTGTTTTAATCAGAGATTATTGTGTAACTTTAACTCGATTCAACTTTTGATCATAACTTATTAAATTAAATTGTCCATGTCTTAATATTACATTTCAAGGGATGAATAAGAGTTTAAATTGAATTGTATGAAACAATTATTTATGCTTAAAACAATCTTAACCTTCTTACCTGTCTAGCTTCAACTGGACAATCACTTCGAAGCAGCAAATGTACTTTTGTAGACAGGAGAACGTGGATCAGAGCTTCTTGCACCATGCTATAAGTTTTTCCATCTTTGTTTCTTTCTTGCTCTAATAACTCTTCGCACAATTTAAATTCCCTCCATGCAGAAATGTGCTCTCCGATGGAACTCAGTTCAAACACCAGAGTAAGCATGCTTACAAATCTGAAAATGGATCAGTAAAGAGTAAACTTCATACACTTTTTTCTTGTGTTATACCTCAAAGGACTGTAGAGGTTGGATGTTTTGGCATTTAAAAGTTCTAAGATATACAGTAGAACCTCTATAAGATTCCACTATAAACTGTAGGTCCCTTAGTTTAGCTGTATCCCTTTCAGACCCAGCACACTCATTTGTGTAGGTAAATTTTTAAGTCCTGACAACCTAACCAACACGATTGTGTAGGTTAGATGTTTATTTGTTTTTTTTAATTTCTGGACCTTTCTGTTGCTCAGACCTGTACGCATCGATTGTGTAGGTTATGGAGATCAGCTGGGAATTTTTGTTTTGCAGTCTGCCTTCATGTCTTATGGTAACACTGATTGTTTTGTTGCAATGTCACGGTAAGATAGGAGAAAGAGGCAACTGTTAAGGTTATTGACTGTTTTATTTATGTTTTTAAACGTATGCTAATTATTGCTGAAACTGAAATGGTTAATATGGTATTATGAAGGTTTCGTCTTTAAAACAAACCTAATCAATAATTTTAGTATTTGAAATCTAGGTTAAAAACCAACAATTATTCAAAATTTGCTCAGGACTTAAAGCGGTCGAGATGACTAAGATTCCCGGGTCTTAAAGGGGTATGGGCTATTAATTAACAGCTGTGTCTAAGGAATATGTCGGTCCTAGTCACTGACAAGACTACAAGATCGCGCCACTCATCCTACACTCATCTCCATTCATACTTGGCTTAAAATACCTACTTTGTATAGTTGATTATTCATAAGAAAGTATGGAGCGAACATTTTGAAACGTACGTTTTAATGTCCCTGCCCTTTTACTTCGTAGATACTGTATTTGTAGTATATCATCATGTGTTTTAATATTTTTTGGGACGGGGGCAACATGTTACACACATTTATTTGTTGATAAATAGGTTCTAAGTATGTTTTTTTGTATTTTTAAAGTCTTGGAATTCACGACCATCACATGTCCCTAGGGTACATTTTTCAACTTTCACGCTGTTTTTAGACAAATTATTCATGCCGAAATATATAATGCCCTATTTTAAAGTCATGAATAGTTATTAAACTTACAAAAAAGGAGCATATAATAATTTTGTTTTCATTGCGAACTGACTGCCATGACAAATTAAGTCTGTCCCTCGATTTGACGTCCCGACCATAATGGCAAAATTTGCAGATTTGGAACTCGACAGTGGCAAGTCTGGCGGCAATAGCGTCAGTTGGTTTTAGAGACTGGTTCTGGATGTGCGTTATAGTTTTGATGTACCGGTGGTTTTGCAGTAAAAAAGGAAGTACAGGATTAATAAAGATAAATTTGAGATAAATTTGATCACGACCGTACGTAGTAATCTTATGAAGTAGACATGGTGTGTTAATTTGTGTTCAGTGGAACCTCGATAAGAAGACCCTTTATAACAAGTCACTCTTGATAACAAGTGTAATTTTCAAATCCCCTTGAATTTATTTAACCTCTAAGCACATGTTATTGCAAACCTCAATAAGAAGTCAACCTTGATAACCAGACTTATTTTATAATCCCCATGAGAGTCTTGTTATCAAGGCTCTACTGTATTATATTGTAATTGGTAAGTGAACCTAGAAACCCACTTTGCCTCCTCAAACATGAGATGTAGGGCTGCCACCAGAAGAGAGCCAAATAACACGTGATTTCACGACCGTATTATAACGACCATCACAGGTTTTTTCACGACCAAAATAGCCTTATCGATTTTACTGTGTTATGGTCGTGAAAATACATTTTAATGTCATTGTAAATTGCACAGTTTAGTTTAATTGCAACACAATTTTTTCTTATAACAGTACAATTAATTGAAGGATGTAAAAAAATTTTGATTTTGAACTAGATTTACATTGACCGGTATTTTTATTGCCCTATATAAAGTAACGCTTATATTGTATAGAGTTATAAATAAAACTATTACGTTTTAAAAATAAATTATGCTTTATCAAGTCTTGTGGAATATTATATGAATAAGAGTAGTGGAATGAAAACCTAAATAAACAATATAGTTATTCTCGTAACACTTGTCCCTGACCATAACATTAATGATTTGGATCATAAAAAATTAAACAAATTATATATCAAATTTCCATCTTTTATACACACTATAGAAGGACGCCTCTTTAAAAACATGAAGGTTTTTCATATATTGGGAACGTTTGTTCAGAGTTATACAAACTTAAAGAGATTTTTTTAGCTTTTTTTCAATTTGTTGAGTAATCAGATTTTTTTTTTTAGAAAGACCAAATACGGTACGGTACCTATACCAAAAGCTTAGTGAACTGTTTATTGCAAAATGGCCCTAAATCTAAATGAATCTGTGGCGTCAACTTAGCCGCAGCTGTATTGCCGTTAGTCTGTACTTTATTTTAATATTTATTATGTAACAGCTGTTGCTTGTTTTTTGTTCAACTATTTAGTTTTGACTATGTTATGACTCAGCACACTTCTTCATTCGTTTACAAATAAAACTTTATCAAATATTCGTTCGTATAGTGGTGATATTATTTCATATAGACTAAACATCGCTATATATTGGTGACCCCGAACAACGACAACAAAAAGCACGACATTCCTTCATCAATATTACCAATGTCGCTAGAAGAAATCGAAGCTCAATTGGCGAATCTACGAGAGCAACAAGATGAAGTATCCACCAACGTTCAGCAACGCAACGACCCTGGTAATCTATCAGTGAATCGAGTTGCAGTAAAGCTTCCACCATTCTGGGCCGATCGACCTAATCTATGGTTTGCTCAGGTAGATTCCCAGTTCGCCATCTCAGGCATCACAAGTGATGACACTCGGTTCCACTACGTCGTATCTCAGCTTGAAACACGTTACGCAGTGGAAGTAGAGGACATCATCACAAATCCGCCTACAACGAAGCGTTACGCTGTACTTCGTTCGAAGCTTATTGAAAGACTGTCTACTAGTGAAGAAGAATGCGTTCGTCAGTTGATAAGCGACGAAGATATCGGAGATCGCAAGCCATCGCAGTCATTCAGAAGCTATACAACTCGGTATGGACGAAATGTTAAGCTCAAGCTTCCTGGACTTCCAGTCTCTGCGGGGGGCTGATGTGGTGTCAACTTAGCCACAGCTGTATTGCCGTTAGTCTATACTTTATTATAATATTTATTATGTAACAGCTGTTGCTTGTTTTTTGTTCAACTGTTTAGTTTTGACTATGTTATGACTCAACACACTTCTTCATTCGTTTACAAATAAAACTTTATCAAATATTCGTTCGTATAGTGGTGATATTATTTCATATAGATTAAACATCGCTATAAATCTACACCAAAACATATCTATAAAAAAAACTTTATAAACTATTTTTAATATTCATTTTTACGTCCGTTATGGTCGTGGCAGAATTTCATCTTTTTCCATTAACGATGCTCTATTAGTAAAAAAACCAAAGATATTGCGTTACCAATGGTACGCAATATCTTTGGTTTTTTAGCGAATTTCCCTATAGGGAAGTAGCTATTTTAGCGAATTTCCCTATAGGGAAGTATTTTAGCGAATTTCCTTATAGGGAAGTAGCTATTTTAGCGAATTTCCCTATAGGGAAGTATTAGCGAATTTCCCTATAGGGAAGTAGCTATTTTAGCGAATTTCCCTATAGGGAAGTAGCTATTACCGTAGGTGGCATGGTAAGACCTAGACCCGGGACCGATTTACTTTTTCATTTTGATGTCCCTAGAGGCCAAAAACACCATTCGTTCAAATTTTTATATATGTATATATATATATATATATATATATATATATGAAAAATAGAAAAATAGGGCTACTATATATAAATAAAGATTAAACATTAATAAACTTAGTACCCAAGTAAAATATTTTAATAAATTATTTTACTTGGGTACTAAGTTTATTAATGTTTAATCTTTATTTATATATATATATATATATATACATCCGTGAACGCGATAACTTGAGTAATTTTTGTCCGATTTTGATGAAATTTGGTTTAAAGGTGTAAAGCGAGATAAACTTGAATGAGTTCGCGAACCAGCACGATCGGACCATGGGAACGGGGCTTTACGGGGGGTTTTATGGGGTAAAAGTTGGTTTTTCTCACTTTTGACCCACAAAACACAAAATTTCCCGATTTCTCTTTTGACCTTTTTAAAGAGCTTAAAAAACAAATAATTTAGTATATAAAAGTATTTTTGTTCAATTATAAGTAACGGAGAAAATTTAAAAAATTGTAAATTTAAAATTCCCATGTTATTCTTATGGAGAATACTGTCAAATGTTGTAGTTTGCTTGTTTATGGATATATTTTGATCAAACTTAGCAAATTTATTTATTCTGTACTAAGCTATCAATATTTTACTCAAAAACACACTTTATTAGTTTCCTTGTAGCAGCAAACCTATAGGTACTCGTTAAACCTAATGTTATTAAAATATATTTAACTGAAAATCAATTCAGACAAATGGAAATTCGCTTAGTCGGCAGGTTTGCTGCGGCGGGGGTATTTATGGTTACCATGGACATTTTATAAAACTTCAAATGTCAATGAAATTTTAAAAAATAATAAAAGTTTTGAAAAAAGAAAAAAACTTTTATAAAGTGCTTTTCTTGATGTTTTTTTTATGTTTTTAAACGTTTACTCAATTAAAGTATTAAAGTGCGTTAAGGGGATTAGGAAAATAGTCTTGTTGGGTCGCCGGATTTCTACCCCCGGATATTTACCCCCATGAAAAAACGCCTACGTCATTTTGACGTCACGAGGGGCGGGGCTTATACATGGTCGAGAAACAGCCCGCGACTGGAAATCTACCCCCGGACATCTACCCCCAGACATCTACCCCCGGACATCTACCCCCGGAAATCTACCCCCAGTGGTCAGCTCTGCCACGTATCGGCCAATATTCATTGTTGTAATTGATTTTATTAATTGTTTTATGTAAATCAACGTCTCTTCGGTTAAT